TATGCCATCCTGATGGCTATCCAGACTCTTCTTTAAAATATCCAGAGATGGTGAAGTTAAAGCTTTCATAGCACATATTGCTCCACTGTTAGACAGTTCTTATTGTTGAGAAATATTTCCTCATATTTAAATTAAACCTTGATAGGTACAAATTTTACACATCATTTCTGATACTAATTTCAATAAAAATAATTTCCTATGGTTCCCTTTTATGTACCTGAATACGAATGTATTTTCTCCTCTCCAGACTGAATATCACATTTTCTTCTTTGAGCATGTTCTCAAGCTCCTATATCAGAATTATTTTCCCTTCTAAACAACATGCTTCTGGTAATGTGGTTCCCAGAGTCATACACAGTACAGAACGGAGGGGAATAAAGTTTTCATTCAAAGGAAACTAAAACAGTGTTAGCCCTTCCATTAGCTCAGGGGTTCCCAACTGGGGGTGCAAGATGATATTCCAGGGGGTGGGAAAACATGGGTTTTCAAAATTATAATGTATATGCATCATTCGTTGCCGTTATTTTGAACTTTTGTAAGGGGTGTGAGAATATATCAGAAGCATTCTAGGAGTGCCGGGTATAGAAAAGGTTGGGAGCCACTGCATTAGCTGTTTCACATCGCTGGATCATGTTATACTTATTGTTAATGATCTTATCCAAGTTAAACTGCTTCCAAACAATGAATGGAACCAAGTAACTTTGGATGATTTTGTATGTATTTCCTCCCTAATTGTAATACCTTACATTTCTTTTTGTTAAGGGCATCTCCAATGTCCTTGACCTTCAGTGGGGTTTGGAGAATTTTTTTTTCTCCAAATCAGACCAATGACCTAAACCAAGCTTCAAAATGAATCTTTCACTCATTATTTAAAATTCTAAAAGATATTTAACTATTGCTTGTTAACTGGAACTCAAAGCTCAGGGGGCAGAAGTGAGTAATGTTTGCGGTTTCTGGTAAATCATATCTTTTCCAATTGATTAAGAAATAAAATTTCAGAAAAGAAAAAAGACACCAAAGCTACTTGAAAATGGGAATGCAGTATTAACCATGACATATACATAGAAAAGTATGGAATGCAATTATGGACTTTATGACTTTGATCTAGTGCCAAACTAGATGATCTATTAGCAATTCTACTTTCTTTAAATGAATTTCCAAAAAAAAAAAACCCAAAAAAACCCCTGTCCCTATGGATTTAAGTTCTTGGATACATTTCTCAAATATAATTATTTATGACATCTAATTTGGCTTGGAATTCGAGCCACAAGCTACTTTTTCGTCAAGTTCTTTCCAGTCCTTCAGATGCCAATGTTATCCAGTTCTTTACATATCAGACAATTTGATATTTCACTGGTTCGTTGCATTGATGTCCAGTTTCCGGTACATCCAGTATCAAATAGGAAAAGCAGTTTTCTACCAAGATGCTGCATGATAAAGAACAAACCAGTCATAGTACTTTGCCACTGAGGGAAGGAAGAGGGAAAAAATTCCTGGGTGGACAGGCAAAGAAACAGCAGCTAAAATGCTTCTCATTTTCTCTCCATTAGGCTGCCAGCAAGACCAGCTACCCTTAAAAGTAGTACCAGTCACTAAGATGCCCCAAGTGCCTCAGAATTGGTATTCTATTCTATTAGTTCCACTTTCTCAGATGTTCTTGAACAACACAGAATTTGCAAGCCAGCACTGGACAGTAGCTTGCAGGAAGAGACTTCCCAGTCTTAATCGTCCGCAGAGATATTTGTGGAAGATTAAGATTGACAGACATTTAAAATGCTGGCAGTACTACAGATATTCAGACAGATTTTTTTTTTATATCAGAGAACCTATGGGGTTACATGATTTGGAGAAGGCATTTCTGTTTTGAACATCAGAATTTAAATTACTATTTATAAATATGGACATATTCTAAAGGCGAGCTTATTCAGCGTTTATCACTTCTTATTTTGATTATGCTTAGCATGTCTTGATGATGCATATGTAGACTTGTTTATAATTTCTTTGCACATCAAGCCTTGATAACTATATTGCTTCTTTTTCAATGCTGTTTCTGGCTTTCTTCTCTACATCATGGTAGACATAAACTAATCTTGTGTATTATAATATATGGAAACCACCAGGACGGTAGAACTTTTTCTGTGATAAAACAAACCACACTCATTTGTTATTGACTGCATAAAAAGGCTTAAAATAAACTTCTATCCTTTCTCAGTTTGACATCTAAGAAAATGTTATTTTGGTTTCATTAAAAAAGAAGAATGCTTTTGGGTTCTTTCCCCTATGATGTGATTTTGAGGTACTGGGAAATACAATCCTTGAGTATTTATACTACAATAAGGTAGTCCCATTAGACTTAGTAAGACTTGTATAAGATTGCACTTGGAGGCATCTAGAAAGAGGTGCCAAGTATTGTACTGAGTATATTTCAGCATCTGATTTAAGAAAAGACTGATGCAATATTTTTAAAAGTCCATCTTACAGAAGGAATAAGAATTATTCATTTGAAACCAGTTATGTACTAAACAGGAACTGGAAAACCAACTTTTCATCAGAAGACCAAACAACTTGTGATGGATAGCCAATTAAATAAGACAATTCAAGTTAGCTTATTAAAGCTCACAAAGCTTTTTGCTTTCTGGCTTATTCTGAATGTGCAGTCAAGTGGTCCACGATGACCTTTCCCTGCCAGCAGGATAATTTCTTGTCAACACCAACAGGAGGAGAGGAGTGAAAGATTTGCTGTTGCAATATCTTTGAATCCTTTCATTCTAGTGTTGAAATCCTGGCATCAAAGGAACTATGACTGATTAGCAGCAGAATGTAAACAAATATAAAAAGCATTCAGAACTGCGGGTTGAGGTGATCATTTACAGCATCACAAAAAAAATGAAGCTATAGCATTACTTTTCAACTCTGGGCTGAATAGAAGAATCTATTTGTCTTTCATTTTAGAGAAGAAAGCAAATGAAAATAAATTGAAAGACCAAGGAGGCCAAAATCTGTCATGTATTGATCTGTTTAAATTATTCAGAGAAGCTACAGTGACTAGCTTTTCAGCTAGCCCTCAGAAAGGATTTCCACAGCAGCATCAGAAAGTAAGCAAGCAATAAGAAATAGTCCCACTGCACTGCTTTCTGGCTTAATATCAGCAGGGATGTCCACTTTTGGCAACTTTAAGTCTTGTGAACTTCAACTCCCAGAATTCCCTAGCCAACTTAGCTGACTGGAGAATTCAGGGAGTTGAAGTCCACAAGTCTTAAAGTTGCCAAGATTAGACACCCCTATAGATATACAGAGAGAGCAATATAGGGGCCACTTTTCCATAACACAATCCCACACCAACGACCATCCATGAGAATGACAAGGGTGACTACATTTCCTGACTAAAGGACAATTTCAGTCCTACTGATAAAATACGACAATTCAAATAACTTGGATGAAAAGCACATCTTCCAGGAAAAACAAAGAGAGTCCAGTTGCTTTTGAAAAAACATCTTTCAGACAACCATGACCTGGATGACTGAGAATCTCCATAGACAATTCAAGTAACAGACTGTGTGATCACAGAATATAATGGATATGGTCGAACCACGCTCCATGAACTTCACTAGCAGTACTCCTTTGGCAGCTTCACATTTGGCGGGATTTTCTATGGCATCACTTCCGGTGTGGTGTTGGTTCATGATAATGCTTACCCAGACACCACTAGACGCATCCAAGAACTTTTGAAGCAGTTCCGTTTGATCACCCCTCCCCCATAACCCAGATTTGGTGCTGAGCGACTTCTATTAAGGAATTTCAAAGCTTATAAGACATTATGACAAGTGCCTCAATTTGAATGACGATTATATCAAAAAGTAATATGATGTTGTAATTTTCTAATGTGTATAATAAAAGTTCTGTATCTGCGAGTGTCCGTCATTGATAACCAAACAGAGGTTTACTTCAGAATTGCCCTCATATATATAATATACAGTATATGCATGCACTGTGTATATATATGTGGGTGTGTAGTGTGTTATGTATGTATATACATATACATACACACTACAAACACATATACAGTGTATACATATACATATATATACTGTATATACACACACACACACACACACACACACACACACACAACACAGAGATATAATAGAGCCCTAACCTCAAAAAAAATAGCCAGAGAGAGCTGTAATGGGATTGATTGTGGATTGACAAAAATCTGGCTAATTTTGTATTTGATAGTAGGGTACATTGATGGAAATACTTATTAAAATCAAAATTAAAGTTAAGAGACCTTAACCCAGATTAATCCTTTTGTACTTCAAGCATGGAGACTTTGACTACTCTCTGATGTCTGTATGAATATAAACAAGTGAGCCAGGAAAACTGCTTTTTATGTCAGCCGTTTTGGGTATTAAAGAGATAATATACTTTGAAAGCTGAGCATAAATCACTGGGCATGAAACAGAGGCTTTTAAAATGAGGAATATAGTACTTTTCTTCTTTCCGTATAAAAGAGGATTAAATACCTGCACATTTCCATACAATCATTTTTTCTTCCTCAATGGACTGCTTCATACACATCAGCACTCCAACAAACTCTTGGTCCCAATATGTCAAAAGCTTCTTAATAATTGCAGTAAAGTGATTTTGAAACCTCAACAACAGGTTGCAGCATGTAGCAGAACTTGGCAATTTAAAAAAAAAAAAAACCAAGGGGCAGATGTTACTAGACTTAGATGAATACCACCAGGAAATCATAGAACTATAAGAGTAGACTGAGCTGTTAAAAAGTTATGGAAAAAGCCAATAGCAGCTACTTTCATAATATTTGCCAAAAAAGAAAAAGCTAGATATGCATGTCCATGTAGTCATCAGAAGTTATGCTTGACTCAGGAGAATCCTTCTCTCTAATCCACTTTAGAATTGCAGCAATTGAAACAAAGTCAATAAATTGTAAAACACCAAGGAGGGATATGATTTAGTGCAGAGAGGATGCTTCTTACCGAAAGCCATTGAAGAGATCAATGCAAGTTCCACTGTTCTTACACAGACCAGAATTACATTCATTAGATTCAGATTCACAAAATGGCCCTTCCCAGCCAGGCTGGCAGATACACCGGTAACCCTAAAATAAATTAGGACAAAAATCACAATATTCAAGTGGTCTTGTCTTTTAAATAAGCATTTTTAAGGAACAAAGATTCAAAATAAGTAGATATTCTCATTCCCTAGTTCAGGGGTGTCAAACTGCCTGCCCACGGGCTGGTTTCATCATACGGAAGCCACGCCCACCCCCATTGCTGGCAATGGAAAAAAAGTTGTGACACATTGCGACACATCACATGACGTGGTGAGTTTGACACCCCTGCCCTAGTTAATCCAGTGATACTGAAATCATTTTCCTAATATTTCACCTTATACAGCTACAATAAATAGCAGTATATAGAAGGAAGTGCACAAATAGTTGTTACTTGGTCATAGAAAAATAATAATACCCATTTAGTACAATTCACTTGGCCCTGTCTTTTACTGATATACAGTAGATAAAACATGGAGGAGCAATGACATGAAATGGCATAAAATGATTTCCAACAACTTCATACATAGCAAATGCTTAATATTCTACTGTATTTAAAACATAACTCATAAAAAGCAGCCCTTAAGAGCATTTTAAAAGATCACCTGTTCTAAATCTACCCATTAGCTGTTTAGCAAGGTTTCTAGGTCAAGGGTTGAATCAGCAATTCCAAGTCATAGACAGCTGTTATGCAAACACAAGAACCATTCAGTTTCAAGGCCACCAACTGATGCTCACCAGGAAAATACAAATAGAATAATCTGTTTTAAAATATTTGGCAAATTAGGTTTGGTTAAAAGCATTTAAAACATCATACATAAAATAAATCTATGATAAAACTGAAACACTCCACTTCTTGGAATAAAAGATCTTGTATTAGTAATAATCTATCATTCTTTATATCTGTCATGTTGAACCGCTCTTTTAAATGGAAAAGAACAAAATGTGCAAGTCTTGATTTGAGAGGAAATAACTCCAACTTGTATGAGATTATTATATTGTATAGACCAGTTAATCAAGTAGAAGCAATTGCTGCAAAATTCAAGTTATAAAACTGGAACATTCACTAAAGCAGTGATGGCGAACCTTTTAGAGACTGAGTGCCCAAATCGCAACCCAAAATCCACTTATTTTTTGCAAAGTGCCAGGGTCGCATCAGCATTGTGGTGCCCTGGGGAGGCAGGAAGGCACCTCTGCCGCCTCTGGCACACAAAACCTGGGGGCACAAAAATGGGCCACCATGCTGCAAGGTGCAAAAACGGCCGCCAACTACTCCACAGGTACAAGGCGCTATACCACACAAGAATGGGACAGGGCTAGTGAGTATCATGCAGGCACTAGCGCTGCCCCATTTGCAGTGCATGCATGCTCACAGCCCCGTGTGTGCATGCATGCATGTAAAATGCTTCCCCCTCCCTTTTCTTCCAGTCCACCAATCGACAATGGTTGGTGATCTCTGCTCTACCACCTCCACTTGAGCTTGCTAGTTGGCCGCTTTGCCTCCTTTTGTTGGACGGGGCTCCTGCTCTGGGCAACAGTGGTGGCCTGATGGACCTGCTGCTGGCAGCGGTGGCGTGCGTGTCAACAGAGAGGGCTCTGAGTGCTGCCTCTGGCACGCGTGCCATGGGTTCGCCACCACTGCACTAAAGTATTTGATGCTTAGAGATCTTGTACTTATCATTATTCAAAATGATGATATATAGCATGTTTTAACAACTTTAAGTTCTGTTTCACATAGGAGATTTAAAACAGTTAATGCATAAATAAAGAACTCAATAAAAAGAGCTTATTTAGTAAACCTCTGTAACAATGCTCCCAATTTTCTTTGATCATTTTGCTCTAGTAATTTTTCCATATAATGCATATAACATAATCATACAAATTTCTTTCATGCAAAAAAAAAATAGTGGTTATGGCAAAGACTTCTACCACAGACATTTATCTGAAGTCTAATCTTCTTTAGGCAGAGAGCTTCTTTTGTGTATGTTTGTTTGTCTACCAATATAGTCCTATGAAACTTAATTTAGCTGTATGTTTACAGATTAAATAGGAATTAAAGCTAGTAAATTTGCAAGATTGAGACTGGGTTTCTTTTCAGAAACAGCTCATCCCTGTCATTTATTTCTGATATAAGTTTTCATATTGCTAATTATCACTCACTATTGCCATCATCAAGTTATAAGTAGGCATGTGCATATTTATCCTTAGAGCATTTCTGCATCAGCAGTTTATAGTGTCGTTCAGCCAGTGCTGTGGCAATATATTGTCAATGAATTCAGGTTTTATAACAGAGATGACTGAGTGACACCATAAATTACTAGTGCAGAAATGCTCTTAGTCTATGGCTTATGAAGTGGAAATTTTAAGTTCCACAATATAACTTATTTTATAGAGCATATAGAACAACTGCGTAAGTTTTCAGGTTTATAAAACCCTCTCCATTTCTATTACAACACAACTGTTTGTGCGCCATGGGCCAGATGCTACTCTCAGCAATTTCCATCTGCTTTACTGAACTCCTGGGAACCCACAACCCAACTGATCACTTACACCTCACATTGTTCCTACTGCAGACAAAACACAGCTCAGTGCTGCTAACAACATTATAGGAACATAATATAATCTTTAAAAAAAAATCATTTGTATAATAATCCACCACCACACATCCTATTCTAGAAGTGTATTATTCCTTTTGAACAAGAAGATGGACTAAAGTAGCTACAACAGTACATGTTTCTGCTTCTACCCCGAGATCAGCAAACACCTAGAGCAGGCGTGTCAAACTCACAATGTCACATGATGTCGTGTGACATATCATGATTTTTTCCCCATTGCTGGCAGTGTGGTAGGTGCAGTTTCGGAGTAAGGCATCCAGCCTGTGGGCCGGCAGTTTGACATGCCTGACCTAGAGGAAAACAAAGTCATAACTAAAAGCCAACATGTATTTGTCAAAAACAGATCAGGCCAGACAAATCTTATTGCATTCTTTGACAAAGTGACAAAATTATTGGACCAGAGGAATGCTGTGGATATAATTTATTTGGGCTTCACTAAGGCATTTGATAAAGTAGACCTACTACTTGATAAGATAGAAAAATATGGATTAGACTACATCACCACCAGATGGATTTATAACTGGCTGACCAACTGCACTCACGGTGTAGTCCTCAATGGAACTGCATCTACATGGAGGGAAGTATGCAGTGGGCTACCCCAAGACTCTGTTTTAGGCCCAGTACTCTTCAACACCTTCATCAATGATTTGGTTGAGGGGATAGATTTGGAACTCATCAGATTTGCAGATGATACCAAGCTGGCAGGAGTAACCAACATTCCAGAAGATAAGCTTAAGATACAGAAGGATATTGACAGACTTGAACATTGGGCAATATCTAACAAAATGAAATTTAATGGTAAAAAAAGTAAGGTTCTACATTTAGGCAAGAAAAAACCAAATGCACAGATATAATATAGGTGGTACTTGACTCAATAGTAGTAGTAACTGTGAGAGGGATCTCGGAGTCCTAGTGGACAGTCACTTAAATATGAGCCAGCAGTTTGCTGCACTTGCCAAAAAAGCCAGCACAGTTCTAGGCTGCATTAACAGAGGGATAGAATCAAGATCACGTGAAGTATTAATACCACTTTACAATGCCTTGGTAAAATCACAACTTGGAATACTGCATCCATTTTTGGTCACCCCAATGTAAAAAAGATGTTGAGACTCTTGAAAGAGTACAGAGAAGAGCAACAAAAATGATCAGGGGACTGGAGGCTAAAACATAAAGAACAGTTGCTGGAATTGGGCATGTCTAATATAATGAAAAGAAGGACTAGGGGTAACATGAGAGCAGTGTTCCAATATCTAAGGGGTTGCCACAAACAAGAGGGAGTCAAGCTATTCTCCAAAGTTTTTAAGAAGATATTTGTCTGAAATGGTATAGAGTTTCCTGCCTGAGCAGGGGGTTGGACTGGAAGACCTCCAAGGTTCCTTCCAACTCTGTTATTCTCCATCCAACTGAATAATTATGAATCAGGGTCCTTATTAAGAAACAACATCTGCACCAGTAGCTATCTGCACAAATTGTTCAAATTTATATCTGTTTTGTTCCCATTTACTGTTTGACAGAGTCAAGAAAAGAAAAGAAAAGAAAAGAAAAGAAAAGAAAAGAAAAGAAGATACCCTTCTTATGGAATCTGCTGAAATCATAACTGCAGTATAACATTATAGAAATTTCCCCATGATAATTATAGTGATGCCCATCCTTGAGTCAGCAGACATAGCATGAAATTTACTGTTCCTTTTGACAATCTCTATTCTGTCTCGGTTAACTCAGTTTTTAGTCACTGCTTGTCAGCAAACATCCATTCAGAGTCATACATTATACACACCTTCAAACTGCCCTTGGTTTGTGCCAGAATAAGGGAAAAATACAGCTGACTTAAGGCTATTTAATTCATAGATGGGAATGAGATGAAGGCAATGGCATGGGGGAAATGGCAGAGGAAAAAAATGTTACCAGGGCATGTTTATGCTTTGTTAGGTTCAAGAAGAGATATAGCTTATGTTCTACTTTGTACATTTCTCTGGGAGATGCAATCAGGGGAAGTCTGTTTGAAATTCAGCTTCCGAATTTCTAGATCATTGGGCTGGTTTGCATGACTGGAACTGCATCAATCAGTTTCTTCCTTTTTTTAAAAAAAGAACTCATTAGATCAAACTGTTTATTCACCAGGAAGAAGACTGTTATAAATGAATGGAAAGCATGCTGCTTCAAAACACATATACAAACACATATCCTCCTCTGAGGAGTGTTTGAAGCCAAATGTAGGAACATGTAGTTCAGTAGTTAGAAGATCAGAAGATCCATACTGACTCGAATTCTTACTGATATCTCTGAATAGTTTCAGAACACAAGTATTCATGAAGAGCTTCCTAGAAAATGTGTTTTGAATCTGAACAACACAGAATTATGTAAGTTGTATCTTCCTTTATAATTGCATGCAAATAGACAAAAAGAAAACAGACTGAATCTACTATCTATAAC